ATATATATATATATATATAAAGTGCCATTTCTATCACTTATTGAAAATGTTCGATCAGTGAATCAATAAATGATTAATTGTTAGATTCACCGAGTTGAAAGTACAGATAGTTGTTGATCTATATGCTTGGTGTATGTACTGAGCATATGCACATGCAATAACACAAACTAATTAGAAGAAGAGTCGACGACGATAGCTACGTCACTGTCTGAAAAAGCAATAGTTTAGTCTTTACAATCTATGACGCCTAGGCAAGCTCAATCAGTCCATCGACGTTCTCCATGAGCGTGTACATCGTGTGAACCTTGCACATCCTATTACTTTTTTACTGTTTTGTACATTCAGGTGAACAAGTGCGCATTTAGAAACTGAGATGCCGGTAAGGATCAATTGGCCCATGCTCGCAGCGACGGTTTGTCCCAATGTTGGCGGCTGGATCGGCGGCTATATCACCAAGAAGAATATGAGTTGGTATGAGGTGAGAATTATATGCAAGCGAATCACTATCTCATTTGTCGCAATACATGCTGATACGCAATAACGAAAACGCTATTTGAAAAATAAAATGTTATTAAGCCGCTTTTTTCCATTAAACCTTAGAATCTAAATATAAACTTGCAGAAACGTTTATAGGCGAAGGTCATCTGACATCGTACGAATCGATATGTGAGTAATTCGCGATGTAATATGTTAGGTAATTTAATCCATTTTACTTCAGTATGAAAAATCAGGGCTGTCTTGTATACTTTTATAGAACTATTATTGTAATATTTATAATTATATTTGCAATTATATTTCTTTATAATCTGGTATTTATAATTATAGTCATTTACAATTACAACTTTGTCATCGCATATAATAATTTTATATATATATATATATATATATCCATTATTACTTATAAATGGTCATTAACTACACATATTATTTATCTAATTTTTTATAATGTATATCTATCATAATAGCTTAGAATTGCGTATATTTATTTTTATAATTACAATTGTTTATAACGTGTGCGATACGAAAACAAATTCTAGAAAAAATACTTATCTGAAGATTGTATTCACATTTATAGCAAATAAATCACAATAAATCACGAATCTCCAATTATCTATCAATCTTTACTTTCTTTAAAAATTTATAGTCTTCATACAGTTTTCATTAAAAAATACATTTAATATTATTTTTTCTTGCGGATAACATCTTTTTATTTCGACATTTTTTATATAAATCTGTATGTACAAAATATTTCAAAAAAGGATTACAAGCTTTTGAAATTTATTCATTTATGTTCATTTATAAATGAAAAAAGATTTTAATATGTATTTTAATATGTAGCTGTATTTTACAATTTATACTGAAATTTAACATTTATTATGAAGATAAAAAGAATGATAGAAATTCAATCAAATCGTATATCAATCCGTCTTATTGGCAATTTAATTGCAATTTGAAGTTTATTTAACAGATTAATAACTACTTAATGTGAATGTAAGTGAAGATCAAACGAGTATGAACATTGATCGTTGATGAATATCCAAACAATGATTCAAATAGAGATTCGTGAATCATTACAAAAAGCTTAATAATGATATATGATTACATATCTGTAATTAATTATGCTTATGTAACTGGTGATTGAGAACTATATGATTATTTTTGTTCGTGAGTAATCGCTTTAGAGGATACATAAGAAAAAGATAGGTTGTTTTCAAATATTCAAGAGAAAATCAGCGATCTTTCGAACTCTTTTGCCGTTTCTCTCGGATATTTATATCGCAAAGTAAGTACTGATACGTTATCTCGGGATAATTTTATTTCGTTTACACAAAATCTGTTTTCGTGAGAGGGGAGTAGACTTAATTAAAGAGCGGCGAAGCAGCACTATCTATATCTATGTCAATCGCGAAAATGCTCAAGTGTTTACAATAAATTACACCTTATCGCTAATGATATAACATGTAATATATCGCTTTTGTACGTATAGATGTATCCGTCGCGCTTAATCCGTCACATTCTCGTTCTAGTCACTGAAAAAATCGAAATGTATCCCGCCGAATTGGGTATTTGCACCCGTATGGACCACTCTGTACTGTACAATGGGCTACTCGTCGTACCTCGTATGGCGGGACGGGGGTGGCTTTGAGGGAGCGGCTCTACCGTTAAGCGTCTATGGTCTCAATCTCGCCCTCAACTGGTCGTGGACGCCGCTATTCTTCGGGGCTCACAACATAAAATGGGTATTATATCTAATTATATGACGCACGCACGCATATACTACGCTAAATCTCTGGAATCGTTCAAGTTATGTAATTTTATTATCATAGATATTGCTACGTTACTTATATTAAAAAATATCTATATTCACGGTAGATATTTTCGATATTTACATAATTAAGAACAATCTTAATTGTTCGCGAATATATAAGTAAAAATAAAAAAAAAACATAAAAATCTTTTTTTTCAAATAATTATAAAAAAATATTTGTATTCTTTCAAATTGTCTTAAAATCATATTTCTAAAAGTAAACATTATATATCATACATTAACAGAGTTTTATATATTTTTATATAATACATTTTTATATCTCCACTTAAAAAATTAAATATTATCTTTTTAATCAATAATTAAAGATAAGAGCCAACATTACTTTCTAATGCATAAATTTGCAGAAAATTTTTTATTTTAAGTAATTATAATTAATAAATGCACAAACATTATATTTAAATTGTTGAGCCAAAATGTTTATGCGTTTATTAATTGTAATTGCTTAAAATAAAATTATTCTTGTACACTGGAAATTAATACTAGCTCTCATTGGCTTATATTTTTATTAATTTAAATTTCAAAGTTTTAATTATTTTGTTTTTAATTAAGATGATCTAAAAAAGACAAGTTTCTATAATATGTAAGTTGATCCCTCGAACGATTCCATAGTTGTATCTTACAATGATTTTGAAACTAAAGCGAGTTTAGGGATTGCTTTAAACATGATTAAACTCAACTTTTAGTAAACTCATGTTTGACTGAAAATTAAAAATTTTAACTTTATTAATAAACATGATAAAAAATAAATTTTATATAATTATTTTCCAATATTTTCAAATTCCTAAGACACGATCCTAAAAAAAATTAAGCATATATAGTATATATGTTTCAGAGATTTTTTTATATACATAACTTCTTATATCACTTGCATTAATTAAAAACAGAATTTAAACGATCCCATTTCAAATTTCGCTTCGGTTAAAAATATTATTAAAACTACTGTTTTACATTCGTACACAGGCTCTCTACGAAATTGCGGCGTTGTGGGTCAGCACGGCGGCAGTTGGAGTCGTGTTCTACCACGTCAATCCCGCCGCTGGCTATCTCATCATTCCCTACGTCGTGTGGAACTCTTTCGCCGCGGCATTTAACTACATCATTTATCGGGATAACAAACAGCTTCCTGCTGTTGAGAAGGCTGACAATAAAAAGAAATAAGGATATTTACATAGCAAAACAGAGAGAAAGAGAAATAGGAAATACAGAAATATGCTGTGGATATATGTTTAGAAAGCCAACTTTTGGTGTCAAGATTTTTCACAAGACCATTAATAGGCTTAATAAATACTTTGAGTCAATGATTTGAGTATGTGATGGATAATAAAAAATTGAGTATTATACGCACGATTCTGTTAAAAGAAAAATTTTAAGTAATAAATGAGGAAACAATCGTTGTAAAGTACTTCTACCACAGAATCTAGTTTTTTCTTATACAGGAAAATCCGTTATAATTCATCTACACCATTATCTTTCAAATTATTCGTTATTCGAAAAAATGTATCAAGCTTACTCTGAAGATATATAGCTGCTTTCAAAAAAATTATGCAATTACCAATACGCAAATACATATTTTTTTTAAACAGCTACATGTTTTTTCTATATCGGTTTATCTCGTTATTCTGTGCATAAAATAAAAATATTATAAAAAATATTTTATATTTTATATTTTGTTATATTATTTAAAATATAACAAAATAAAGAATAAACCATTTCGTAAATTACTAATTTTTTTTAATTATTATTGTACTTTGATATTTTTATATAGAATAATTAGAGGAATTATATTTAACAAAAAAATCTGATGCTGTTTAAAAAAAAGAGATCTTAAAATGAAACACTATCATTTAGAAAAAAAGAAGTGTCTTCTTCGAAACAAAACAAGTTTTATTTAAACTATTTTTTTGAATAACGAATAGTTTAGAAAATAATTGTGAGATTTATTATAATAGTATATTAAACGGAATATTTTTTGTAATGAAATCTTTTTCGTCTTTTATGTATAAAGTTATCTGAAAAAGGTAACGTGTATAAATATTTGTGTAAATATTCGAAGCCAGTGAAAGACTTGATATTCTTGCATTGACACGCATAAGCTTAGCTGTTATTTTTTTAGTCTTAAAAAGAGATGGAAATAATTAAGTGTCCATCATTCACTACTGTACTTTGTACTTTTCGTACAATCATCGTTATTGTTATTGACCACCGTGTCGTCAAGTCCGACGAGATGTGCCTTTGCATCGAACGCACAACGCCGTTATAGTATACACATGTTTATCGATCGATATACGAAATAAAAATTAATTAATCGATCACTTGTACGTACATTATACAGTGTAATATCTTAATTTTATTAAGCTTTAATAAAATCATATAAAGTAATTTGAGAGAGAATGGATGGGGACAGATGGTAATCATTGGGAGACTTTCATTTTCTTCAGTCTACCCTATTCCGCGTGGAGCTACGGAGCCTTGTTTTGAATTAATTAGCCTCGGTAAAATGTCAGCCATGAATTGTAAAATTTCCGCCTTCAGAGCGATCTCGATATCAATCTCGTCTTTTGTACAGAATAGGACAGAATATATTACACAAGAGCGATATCGAGTACGATGATATGGGCGGCTGCTCAGGCGGGACTTCTTCTAGACGGCTGTTGCCGCCGCATTCAGCTGCCATGTTTCACAAGCGCTACGTAGGTTCGGTGGCGTAAATGTAGCCTTGTTGTTGTAACACGTACAACCGCTTCTCTACTGCCTCTTTATCTGAAATCAGTAACAAAACGTATCATCGTGAATGACAGACTAAAGTAAAAATTTTTGATAAAATTTTATTATATATATTTTATTTTATTTTACTTTTAATTATAAATAAACAAAATAAAATATTCAACATCTATTGTTTGATACACATTGCATAAATATTGCGATAAATAAAACTGACAAATGAATATAAAACTAATATGCAAAAAAATTGTATCAAAATAAACTAAATGAGAAGTTACATAAGAGAAAGTTGTAAGAAAAATAGTCGAAATAATATTTTTATTATTATCAAAGATATTCCAGAATTTTTCAGAATTTCCCAGAATTTCTCTTATTTTAAAAAGGAAAAAGAATCATTCATGGTTTGATAACGAGAAAATAATACGTACATTTAATAAGCAGAGCTCGATCCTGGCTATGACTGACATGCTGCGCTAACGAGTGCAATAATATTTGCGCTGTATGATATCGTTGGAAACATTCACCGCCTTTCCCGAATAGCTCGTCCAATGCTGCTGATTGACACTGTAAAATATTAAATGCTCCATATATTATGAATTTCAATATTATATTTGTTTTTTAATTGTCAGAAATAAAACAAACATTATTTAGAATATAAAGAAATTAGAGATGATAAATATAAGTAAAAAGATATGAGTTTATTTTAGTACCATGTGTATCGCATGATTATATAATATCTTGTCCGCTGTAGTCCCCTGTTTGACGAAGAAGTCCCACGCTGTTCAGTTGCTTGCATTCCGTTAAGCACGACTTGAATTTCTCGTTCATGGTACTGACAACTGTACAACAATATTACAAAGGGTCAATTTAATTTAAATATAATTTATATGTTAGCTTCAAATTTATTTAAATAAACGCATATATATATATATATATATATATATATATATATATATATATAATAATAATATCTATTTTATAAACGTATATTTGTTTATCATGTTAAAAGATTTAGTCTCAACAAAAATTGTTTTTAAAATTCAAAAATTGTAAATTTGTATATGTAAATGTAGACGTATTGTTCAATATCTAATATATAAAAATAAAGGCATAATAGTGGCGAGATTTTAGCCGCAAAGATCCGTTTAAAAAGTAAAAATTTATCAAATTTATATCAATATTACAACAATAGGAATTATCTACCTTCTTTCACTGTAGCTGTTGGTTGCAACCTTCCAGCTTTGAGTTCCTGAGTGGCCAGATTCAGGCCAGAGCTGAGCCACTGCAGGGCTCGGACCAGAAGGATGACTTGTTCAGCACGTTTCCTGGTAGCTGCGTTGCCAGCCTGTTCAATGCTGCCGAGAGGCGCCGGTTGCTCGATATTGCCTAGCGGACCAGCCCTAGATCTAGCAACCTCGCACACACATTCACATAATGCCACAACAAAGTTCAACTTGGCTAGAATTTCATTGTGCTCACGTTCCATCAGCGTTTCTTCTGGTAACTCTGGCGCAATAAATGTTAACGGACGGTCATCGATTGTCGTCGGTGGTATGTCCGGAAAGAGACTTTGGAAACTACCAGCTTCTACAGAAGAGATAGAGAATAGAAAATAGAAATGATTATTTATTAGACAATTTGTAGAGAAAATAAACATTTTTTACTTGACATTCTTGCGAAAAACGAAATATTGACTAAAACAATTTTGAAATTATCAGATTGTAAACTGTAATGCTAATTGCTGAAATATTATATTCCATAAATCGGAATACGTCTCTCCTATTTAGCAAAAACAGTCAAAAAATTACCAGATATTTCCGGAAGAGTGACGGCCCTGGTGCCGAAAGGTATAACGGGCGAATGCCTGAGAGTGTTGTTGTTGTCCTGAAAAGCTCGTGAAGTAGGTGATCCGAGTACCGCCAGCGGACCCGTGAGCAGCGGCGAAGAAGCGCTATTATTTCCCGTGGAACGACGCAAAGGTGAAGTTCCACTCGGTGTATGCGAGTGTCTTGCTACAGGACTGACTTGCCATGTGTTAGGTGGTGGCGGAGTCTCGCTCAACCTAATTGTTAACAAATTAACTTTATTATTCAATTTTATAATTTTATTTTCGCACAGAATGTTCCGAAACCTTCATTTTTAACTTTTAACGAACTAAACATTTGAGTGTACAGTTCCTAGCAAATTATTGATTGTTACAATGTCTGATTCTATTAAAAATATATTAAGAGTATAACTAAATAAAAAATTAATCAAGGAAAAAAGACCTTTTAAGTCAAATCTATCATAACATTATTTTGATTAATAGAAATTCTTTCCTGCCTCGATATTTTTAAATTTATTCTTATTTGGAAAAAGTTCAATATGCAATAAGTCATTATTAGATTATTTGAAAACTCGCAAAAAGAGTGAAAGAAGGAATTGTCTTTGACAATTCATGCTCATTTGAGAACACACTCGTACCTTCTGCCAGGAGGAGTGCCGATAACAAATTGCACACTAGGCGGGCTGAGGGAACCAATATCCGGTGGATGACTTCTATGGGAATCTACACTACGTTTCATGCTAATCGGTTGAGAGCGGGGTACAACACTGCTGCCACCAGAACGGGCGGCATTCGTCGAAGGAGATTGTGGTGGTTGCTGAGCCGTTGTATTTCGTTGACACGGGACAGGAATCGGCTCGGAGATTGGCAAATAGCATGGTCGAGGCGGACTAATAGCTTCTCTGCTCGTCTGCCTGGTATATCTAGTGAATAGTTGTAGAAAAATAATAATGATACCAAAATAATTGTAATTCCTTTAATACTAGAAAGTTTGCAATTTAATTATATTAGTATCTGAAATATGATAAAATATCACATACTCGCCCAATTTCGATAAGCAGGGTCGAGGTGGACTGACAGCTTCCCTACTCACTTGCTTGGTATACCTAGGAAGTGATTATAATTATATTAATAAAATATTTTAAATCTAAATAATAAAATATATAAAGTTATAAACATATTTAAAAATTGAAAACACATTTCAATTAATTTTTGTTTATTATTTTCAATTTTTTTATATATTTTTTTTATACTTTGTTTCGAATTTAATATACACTTACTTGACCGGTGGATTATTGTCAGTATCGCTGCTGATATCGCTTGGGACAAGAACGAAGTCATCTTCAGGACTAGAACAAGGAGTCTCCGTTGTCTCGGGTTCTGATCTGTTGACAATTGGTGTTCCCTCCTCGATCGGAATGACCATTGTTCCCGGCGACGCCGGCAGTTCGGTGGGCACAGGACTTGGGCTTGGACTCTCTCGGATACCCGTGAGGAATGGGTGACCGAAAAATTGATCAAAATCCATGCGATCGGTTGCTTCGCGCCTCAACAGACCCATCAAAAGATTCGTCAGCTCAGGCGATGTTCCAGGTGGTATACTAAAAAAAAATGAACATTTTTTTTGTATACTATTTTATAATTTTTTCTTTTTACAATAAAATGTTAAGTATTTGGAAAAAACTAAATTAAAAAATTAAAGGAAAATTATAAAAAAATAATAATACAATAAAAATCTGTAAAAATATGAAAAAGCTGATTTATAAAGAAATAGTTTATAATTCAGATCTCTTCCATTCAAGAGAAATATAAATTATGTACAAAAATGGGTAAGATAAATTCTTATTATTCTTATTAAATATTTTTATGTACCTAGGGACAAGATTGACAGTGTTCTCGTAAATCGACTTGAGTGCATGAGGATTATTTGCAGGATGTGGTGCCTTTCCAGTGAGACATTGATATAATATAGTTCCAATAGACCATAGATCTGCCTTAGCATCATACTGAAGAGACATAATAACTTCAGGCGCCATATACATTGGCGATCCACACAAAGTTGCAGCCATCACGCCTTCTTGTAAGAACCTAGCAAAACCAAAATCCGCTGAAACAAAAAGAAATGCATTAATATTAAATGTTAATAGAAAAATCAATTCTGAAAAAGATTAAAATTTAATAACATTAACACTCTTACCTATCTTCAATGTTATTTCATGTGGTTGTGGACAGGCTTTACCACAATTGTGATTCAATAGAATATTCTGTGGTTTAAGATCTCTGTGAACTATCCCTTTGGCATGCAATACTTTCATTGCACGGACCAACTGTTTGAGAAATAGTCTAATGGTATCCTCGGAAAGAGTACCTTTTGCTATTAGAAAAACAAATTAGAAAATACATTAGAAAATACAAATTATGTATGTACTAAAGCTATTCATCTTATGACACATGAAAATTTCAGTAACAGTTATTTTAATTAAATTATTGCAATTTTTTATTTGTATATTTACCATTTAAATAATCTCCCAAATCTCCACCATTACAATATTCCATAACTAGGAAGACATTATGATTAGACTCCTGCATCAAAAAGATATTAATAATATTAAAAATTTAATATTATAAATATATTATTATTATTATAAATATTATATTATTATTATTATTATAATGTAGATATATGCAGTCACCTTACAATCATACAATGCGACAACATTCTCATGATGCAGTTTAGTTAATGCCTACAAGATAAAGCATTATTTACTAAAAATATGTAAGAATTTCTTAATATATTTATTAATATTTCTTTTTTTTTCTTCTTTATAAAATTTCTAATATTTGTTAGAAATACAAAAGACATACTTTTAAAATTTTGATCTCCTTCTTCAGCAAGTCTTGTGACTTGGCCAAAGTCTTCTTTGTGATACTCTTAATAGCTACCACCAAATTTGGTTTCTGCAAGATAGAAAGCAAATAAGTATATTATTGTTAATTATTATTATTATTATTATTATTATTATTATTAATACAATTATATTAATATAGAGTATTATATCTTAAAATAAAATAAAATAATTTAAAAAGCAAATTCAAATAAAAAAATATTGAAATAATTTTAAGTTAAAAATCCACTCATTTAATAAATGTATCATTCTACAAGAGACAAACCAATATTACACAAAGAAGTCTCAAACAAGTACAGTCACAATAATTTTCATAATTTTTGATACATTAAAACACCAAAAATTCATACAAAAATCTCAGAAAATTATAAAAGATACAGTGTCATCCTGTTAGTTCAAAATAAAAATTTTATTAAAAAAAGTTCTTTGATTTTAGAGTATTACATTATGCTGTTTATCTTGATAAAGTTTTATAGATTTTATAGATTTATAAGATCTTCCTAGAACAATGGATTTTTCTTCACAAAAGAAAATATATATCTAATATATATCAAGAGACACAATGTGTATATGGTACATATCATATATATATATATATATATATATATATATATATATATATATATAAATTTCAGATAATTTTTAGTTTTGTCCAATCAATCCCGTCCAGGAGAAACCAGAGGCAGAAAGGCAGAAGACAGGAATTAGAAAATACTCACTTTGCGATGTCTGCCCCTGAAGACCACAGCGAAGGCGCCCGTACCGATTAGGTCCTTCGGATTATACTCGTAGTCACCGAGGATCTCCATTTCTCTCGTTTCGACGGGCGATCTCTACCGACGTGATGAAGTCCGCGATTCACCTATACGAGGATGCATTGCCCGTCGCGATTGGGACTCGATATGTCGTCCTCGTCGTCTGCTATGAAATGACACGATGTGACGACGCAATCCCGAGGGGGATCTACATCCCATCCGTCATTATTCGGGAGATCGTTTCAGATCGTGGCGTCGAATTACCGCCCGCGACTATAGAAACAACGGAACACAGTGGGACGTGTTGGGATGTACAGTGGGCGGCGGGGTAGACGGGAGCACATACGTATGAGAAACACAGAACTGCGAATTGCGAAAGACGACGCATGCTCGCTAGCCACTATGCCGATACGTTAAGCGTTTTAAGCCTGGTATTCACAATGTAAGAAATTGATCTGAAATCTTAGGGCTCTCTCATATTAAACGCGACGAGTGATGAGCGATATCCAATGAGCGTATAGCTTTTCTCGGAAAGCATTAGGCTGCGTTTGAATCATATTGATCAACTGGTCGAAATAGTTATTGTGATTTGTTAATTTTTTCTTCCATCCGAGATTTCGAATCGATTTTTAGCATCATGAAAGTACCTCGCTTTATGAACAGGATAATGGACTTTTATCAAATTTCATTTATATGTTATTACTTCATTCATACTTATTTCATTTTCAGTATGTATGTACAATAACGAATATATATTAGTTCAGCTACAAAAGATTCAGACCAAAGGCTTCAGGCTTTTCTCTGTAATTGATAATGATGAAAATTTATTCAAATTTGGCTATCTGTACGAGTACTTCGTCCATGGTGAATGCCGAGGAATGACGAGGATTGTCGAAGACGGCCGAAAGTTGCAACGGTCCAAGAACAGTGCTTTCTCTTGCGCGAAAATTTTTACGTCAATTTTCTTCGGTAGAATCTGTTTTCTCGTCATTGTGCGGCGGATAGGTCGTCGAGGGAACGTGATCAGCCTCCTTGGTAAGAAACATATAAAAAACCGATCTTGTGAATAGAGATGACGACGTACGCTCCGTTCGAATGAGCGAGTATTTGCGCAGCACCGCGCAACCGGATCGATAATTGATTACTGTGCATTATTCTAACCTACCTACGTGCCCATGAATCCGTTGGATTATTAAATACCTGTGCGCATATATATATGTCGTATGCACGTATATGTGTCAACGGGTGACCCGATATGACCGCGATAACGCTATCGTCATCATCATCGTCGTCGTCGTCGTCGTTGTTGTCGTCGTCATCGTCGTCGTCATTCGGATGCGAAAACGGTCAGAACTCTGTCGACGTGACATAATCCGTCGGACGCAGACGTGTCTGTCTTTTTATCCGCAGTCGGAGTTTGGTGATGCGTTTTTTGGCGATTTACCTATTTGGCGAACAATCCGATTTTGAATACCTCGAGACATTCAAGGCGATTATGAATAGTATTTGTACGATAAACGACCATGCAATTTAGTGGTTCACGAATGTATAATTTGTATAATGATTTTAGAGTGAAATTTTTTTTTATTCGGGTTTTGTTACGTCTGAAATTTTATAGTAACGTATATTGTCTAATCTAATAAAAAATGATCACGATTTGTCTAAACAAGGTATTAATTCTAATGTCCATTTCTATCGATGTAGATTAACTTTGATTTTAATTTAATTTTCATTTTTTTTAATTCTAGAAATTAGAAAATAAAAAGTAAATTGAGATTAAAATTAATTAATGTAACATAAAATATATAAATAAACAAAAGAAAACAATTTTCACTATATAAAATGTTTGAAAAATAAAATTTTTCTTTTCGAAACAGTATCGAGTATTCTATTTAATTTATTTAATACTATTTCACTCTTAGATATTTGAGTTGTTAATTTTCTAACTAGGGTGTGTTTTTTTATCTTTGATTTTGCAGAAGTGAGGCAAGATGTACAATGGTATCGGACTTCAAACTCCACGAGGTTCTGGCACCAATGGACATGTTCAACGGAATTGGGCAATCGTGCGTAAAAACAAGGACAAAGTCACTTACAAGTCGGAAGAAACCAAGATTGATCAATTGAATAAGCAGCCAAATAAGGAAATCTTAGATCATGTCAGGAAAAGAAAAGTTGAAGTCAAGTGTGCAGAGTTAGCTGACATTCTAGAGAATCAAGGGTAATTATTCATAAATTATAACTCTTTGTATCTTCAATATTTTGAATTTTAAAACAATGTTGAATCTATAACATGTATCAGTTTTTTTATAATAAATTAAAAACATTGTATTGTTATTAAATAATTTGTCATTTAATAGCTTTTTAAAACAATATGGAAACTCAGATTGATCGTAATTTATAATGATAATAAGTAATATAATTGTATATAACAGTAATATAATTATTCTGATTATTATAATTTCAAATTCTCATAACGATCATTAATGCCCTTTGAAAATGTCTTTGTTTTTAACAAAGTTATAGATAAATGAATGATTTAAACTATGTGTTGAAGCCAAAGGCAAGCAACGTAAATCTTATTATAGTTACAATCCAATTTGAAAGTAAGAAAGCTCCTTGAGAATTAGAATGATAGTAGTAACATACTATTTAATATAAATTATAAAGCATTATATCATAAATAATACAGCAGAAATAAAACATAAATACAAAATATAATTTTGAAAATGATGGAAAATATACAATAGATACATGGAATAATTCTTACGAAGAATAAACAGTTTGTTATCATAATGTTAATAACACATTTGTAGTTGAAACAGCTAATACGATTAATTCAAAACAAATTTAACTAGCAGTCAATATAATCTTGTATTTCTTTTAATGTAAATTACAGATTTACAAACGAGGAGATACAAAACAAGGTGGAATCTTACAGATCGTTGTTAATGGGTAGTGATATTAAGTCATCCACGCCGCAAGATGAATTTGGCCGTATTAAGTAAGTACATTTTAAATATTTCTTAACTTTCACTTAAATTTAAGAATTGATAACAAAGCTGTATGACAAATAGAAGTAATTTCTCTGATATATATTAATATATATCAGAGAAATTAGATTAGATTACTAATCTGATATATTAATTGGCATAAATTAAAAAATTGGGGCAAAAATCATATATACAGCTTAATCAAATTAAAATAATATAAACAAAAATATTTTACACTGAATTAAGAAGTTAAAGTATATTTAAAATACATTAAATATATTATGTAAATATAATATAAATTAAATATATATACTATATAATATTCTTATTTTGTATAAATAAAATATGGACAATGTATGTAATGTTCAACATTAAGAGGTATATATATATATATATATATATATATATGAATAGATACTAATATCTTAATTACATAATTGAGATTAAATCGAATTATGAATTTTAAATTTAATAATATAAATTTAATAATATGACTTTATTAATTGATTCAAAAACATGACGATATTTTATTTTTGAAAAAGTGAGAATAAAATTATAAGGAAAGGGCTTCCCTGTTATTGATTTCTGTCAGTTAAGTCCAGGATAATCCTGATGATGCACAGACACTATGTCGTGAAATGATGTATACGATTTTAAGGGTGTCTGAGCTTGAGATCTCTCTGCCACGGCTTTATTCGATCCTGTGCTAAAGGAAAGCTTTCGCAAATACAACGTTATATCACAAGAATATATTTACAGATCTACATTGAAAATTCTTCCTCGATAGACATTCAGACGATTTATACTTTTTAAACATTCTGGTTATTTTTGTAACTATATATATTGTAACTATAATCTGAATTTGATTAATTATTTTTCAATACGATTTTCAATACAAATTAAACATATATACTATAATGATTAATGTAATATAAAAAACTTAAGATTATAGAAATTTGTATATAGAGACTGAGAAAGATACACAATTTAAAAAATCATTTTTTATTCTTATACTCGCATATAGAACATTTTTAATATTTAGAGAGGAACTAAAGTATGCAAAAACAGAAAAGAGAATTGCAAAAAACGTAATGGCATGAAAAAACTAATCTTATTTTATATTATTTTATCACAATATTGTAATATGCATCTTGTAGCTTGTCATCTCAAGTCGAAATATAAGTATAAGAAAAAAAAGAAGAAAGTAATTAAAGAACGTGATACAAGAAGAAAGAAGCTAATTTTTAATTGTTTAATTGTTAAATTGTTATTAATGTTATTAAATATTATTAAATTAAGATGATATTTTTTTTACAAGAGATGAATTCACAAATTCATTGAGTTTATATATAATATTTGAAAAGGAAACTTTACGGAAAAATAAGATATTTAATAGTTTTCAACAACACGAATTACTATTTGATTGACTGACAATCGTTACTTTAGATTGTTTTAATTATATTTATTTTCACAAGTCAAATTATCGAGATTGAGAAAGATATTGGAATTTAACGATACCAATATGAGATTGCGCGAGAGGGTGGGAACACGTCGGCATTCCGTATCAACCCTGGAGGGATCGGATGGGAGGATAGGATGGGTGTTGTATTCGCGATATCGACGTACCCCATAGCGCCGGCGCCAAGAGGGTAAGAGATGTCGGAGGATGTATCCGGGGCGGAGGAGGATGGGAAATGGGAGTAAGAGGGAGGCGCAGCATCTCGCTCTAGGCGTCTCAGTGCAAAAATGGACCGGCGTCACGACGTAGCCAACGGACGCGTCGTCGTGTGTCGTTGTCGACGGATGGTGCACCGAGAATCGGATTAATCTAGGGTGATATCCGGGTGACCCCGTCGGGGAAGGAACATGTGACGCGACGCGACGCACGAACCCATGGACAAATCACAAAAGTCTTCCATTAGCTTAATTTAATCTGGTAGCGCGGTTACTATTTCGCTCCTCTAGATCGTCCTTAAGTGCTAAGTCTCGAATTAGAATACATATCGCGAGATAGAGTTTAAGTGTAGCGTTAAAGTCTCACGGGAGCAAGCGGCGGTTTGCGTCGTTCAATCATAGAAAATATCGAATAGTTGAAGTGATAAGAAGATCTGTGAAGATCACACGCGATATTCGCTCGTGCCGTAATACATATAAATGCGAAAAATATCAGCTATTATATATCAGCCCAATAATCAATGAGTAAGAAGAAATCTGCAATATTTCCATAGAAGAATCACATTTTACTACAAATTATAACGCGAATATATGTGGAAAATATCGGATATTGATGTCGATTGGCTGATTCTGAGTGAGAAAAAAATCTTCAAGAAATTATATTGATTGTTAGATTAAGTTGTAATACAAATATACACGAAGATGTTGTATATCGTATATATTAAATATTGAATGTTAAAGATTGGTAATCTTATTGTCAGATAAATAATCCTTGGAAACAAAACTTATTACACGGAACGGATGAAAATTATTAATGAAAAATATTAACATTTGCGCAGATACAATTTCTGGAATCTCATTTTTTTTCACGAATGTCTCTCAAGATATACACGAGGTAAAAATAATTTGACTATCCTAATTGGAAAGAAGAAAAGGCAATAGAGAAAAATGAGACAATTCTTTGAACAATCACTTTGAAAAAGGTACATATAGAAATATATCTTCTAATTCACGTGTCTCTGTTTAGAAGAGGAAAGTTTTTTCTACGAAATCCATGTGTCTCCAAAACGTCGACTGTCGGCGATACTTCGCTAAGAGAAGTGTTCTGCTTCAACCTGAAACAGAAGCACGACGATAATAGTGTGCCTGATCTGAAGTCTTCCTGAGCTCCGTTAGAATGCGTATACAGCAACTTCGCCAATGCGAGGATACATACATATCGCTATATATTCTTCCACAATTGTATGGAATAAGAGAGAATAGCCTCTAATGGCTCAAAGTTAACAATAATCGTTATGAAATAACATGTAAGTTATATATATAAACGATAATTTATTATTGAAGATAATGATAAGAAATTATGAACATAACAATAATAAATGATAATAATAATAATAATAATAATAATAAATGGTTAATAATAAAACGTAACAATAAGTAATAGATATATAAGGAATAAGAAGTATAAAGGAAACATTGATTAATGTTGAAATGAAACGAGCCGGAACACTCGGATATGAGATGATGAGAGTCGCTTGAAGAATAGTGGGACGTAACGACGCGTAAAGAAAAGGAGAGATGGAACTTATTGTTACTGTAATCATCATCATCATCATTATTATCATCGCCGGATAATTGTTCTAGCTAGAAAAGCCGGGATAGCGGGTACAAAAGGCGCGGCAATTGGGAAGGGAGAGGGCTATTACCCTCGCCTGCGATCATTCCCTCTCCGCCCCATCCCTTCTGTTCCCTTCACAAAGAGATTAAACGTCACAAAACTACTTGCGCAACGTGGACCAACCGGCGGAGTCTCTCGAGTTCAACTAGCAGCCTGATTATCTTGCCAATATTATTCACCATTTTCTTTATTTTAGATGATAGAATAAATTTGCCTTGAAAAAAACTAGATAAAAGAACGGAATTATTGAAGATTTGTCCGAAAAAGGATAGAAAAACCGAATAGAATTTTTGACAGATCTAAGCAGCTTACAGCAGCACAATCAATGATTACTCTCTACAATCAGAAATAGTCTCAAGAGAGACTAATAATTCCACATTTTACTGTATTTTCTGGTATAATAGGAGAAATTTGGGAGATGCACGATTTTATTTTATTTTTAAAAATTAGACACACAATTTTTTGAGATTCAATCTCTGATATCAGAAATAGCGATAGAAATAAAAGATGACAATTCTGGAAAGGATCTTTAGAAATTTTTGAAACTTAATTTATCACAAGAGATCAATATATACAACATATTGTTTTTCGTTACGACCGGACTTGTTTTTCAAGAAAAATTTCTCAAAGAAAGAGAATCTCGGAGAAATTCTCGTCATTGGATCTGGATTTTGAGGAATGACGATGTCGGCGACGGTATCACCGGCGAAACCCGCGCGCGGACGTGGTCCGGCCGATGGCCGGGCCTTCTTCGAGACGTTGTGGCGAGGCGGCAATTTTCTGCTGGACCGGCAAAAAGTGTTGAAGCGCTCGCGCAAACGCAAATTGCACCACGCGCCGACCAATAACGGTGGCAAGAGGAAGCAACAGCAACTGCTGCAGATGCAGCGTCAACATTGCTGTTGCTGCCAGCGCATTCAGCTGCACCTGCTCGCCGAACGGCGAAGCAACATGCGCTCCGTCGTCAGGTGAATCTCTTTGTCAGCGTCAGCTTTTAATTGAAACCTAGAAATGTACGCTGGGGTGATCTTTGTTCAAGTCCAGGCCTCTTTATCTCATCAATTACTAATGCATAGAAATAGAAAAAGATATTTAAATTTGCTATCATGTCTTATAATCGTGATCTATTAGAATAGTTGAAAATAAATAAGATTTTTATTTATTTTTAACCCTATTGTAGATATAAAATCAATTATATTTTTAATCTTCCCGGTGTACAGTTTATCTTGTTAGCTGAAGCTTTGATCTATATAGAGTACTCTATCATTAGGTTTAATTATTTAATGAAAATGTGTATGGCCTTTCCTTAATGAAAATATTGATTGCGCAATTAGGATAATTTAATAATAATTTTATATTATATTAAAATAATTTTGAACTGAAATATGTGAAATCTACTTTAACAGAAACGTAATTTAAAGTTTACTTTTATGAGAATAAGATCTCTCTCGATAATGATCCGAGAGAAGCATTTCTGAAAATGATATCTTAGTTCATTTCGCTCTTCGAGCCCGGTTTACTCGCGGATCGACTCGGTGTAAGTTGCCGATGGCAATTCTACAGTGCAAAGGGGATGCCAGAAAAGAGAACAGCTGGATTGTATTGATCCGCCGGGTTCCGGCGCCGTGCGTGCAGGCGCGCAGGGGTGGTTCTCGCCCCCGGCTCAACCCCGGTTCACCGCTTTTCACCGCCGCAGGAAAAGTAGAGAGAGGGAGGGAGAGAGAAAAAAAAGAAAGAAAGAGTGAGAGAGGGAGAGAAAAGAGAGAGAGAAAGAGTGAGTGAGTGTGAACTCGCGCGATTCCTGCCTCTGCTTGCCATTCTGGTTGTCCCACAGTGTGTTATGTCATTAGCATCGCGCCGTTAAAAACGACGTCGACACCGTTGTTTCGCGACTCTGTTCAGAGTGTTCCCGCGATTCCAGACGTTTCCATCTTATCACAGTTCTAAAAGATCGATTGTTGTCTTTAGAGGGATGACGGTGAAGATTTCGACACGGTACGCAATCTCAATTACTCCTTCTTCATCGAGTCCTTCTTCATTGTGTCATGAATCAATATGTCGTGTAGATCGTCTCGATAGTTCATTTGCAAGAATAAAATGGAGTCAAATTTCAAAAATGGGAAATTAACAATTAAATATGATTTTTGATTTTTTGTTTGCATTTATTTTGTTTCGTATGTGTGCAATTGTTCTCTCGAACATATGGTGTCTAGGTTCGTGACTCTGTCGTATTAGAACAGCGAGTTTGATTCTGTACTCGCTTAATAATATGGAGAAGCTAAGTAGCATACAAGGGTGTAATAGTTTAAAAAAAAAATATTATATATATATATATATATATATATATA